GCCCTCAGTGCCATGGGTTAGTGGTGGCCTTGGCAGTGCTGGGGAATGGTTGGACTGGATGAGCTTAAAGGGCTTTTCCAACCTGGTTGATCTGTGATTCTCTGATTTCAGGTTTTGTTCTCGATTTCATTGATCTCTGTTTGATTTGCATGTCTGCAAATCCATGTTTTCTTACGGCAGGGGTTGGAACTGGATGATCTTAAAGTCCTTTCCAACCCAAACCAGTCTGGGATTCAGGGATGCTCTGGCCATGTTCCTCTTTGCTCCTACCTGGTCTGGGAAAGAAGGGCATCAGTCTCTGATTTAGGCTGACTGACTCCCTCTTAGCACTTCAACTTCCAAGGAAGGATTTGGCTGCTTTTTCCCCTTGGGCCAATGAAAGGAACCAACTCAGCACCAGTCCCCTTGCAAGTGCATTCACACCACTTCCTTCTCTGCTTCAGCCAGCACAACGGAACGATCATCTCACAGCAGCTCAGCATTAATGACTGAAGATGATGTGTTAGAAGGGGAGAGGGAAGGAAAGTCACCTCTGGGTTATCAGTGTCTGTACAGAAGAGCTGGTTTATCCATGAGGTTTGCTTTGACCTCACCAGCGCTCGGTGTCTGCACATCAAGCTCAGTTTGCAATGAGAACCAGCGTCTGATTAAAAGCCCTGGAGCTCTGTGGGCATCTATTTCCATCCCTAGAAATCCCCACTGAAAAGCAATTGCTTTGCTTCCTTTCCAGCTCTTAATTAAATGCTTGTCTTGGATTAGCTGCTGTCAGGACACCCCTGTCTTGCAACAGGAGGAGCTGATCACGAGTGCTTAGAGGAGAGGAGGTGGCTCAAGGGCTGCTCATAGGTTTGCCTCTTAGGGCAGGTTTCTTTGTCACCAAAGTCTAACCAAAGTTTCCTTGTCTGCTGGACCTTTTTGCACCTTAATAACCAAAAGCCACCTTCTTCAGGCCTGATCGCTTGGAAAACATGGGCTTGAATGACTGTAAATGGATGGAGGTGGTGTTTATCCTATCATGCTTTCCCAGGGTGACCCTCTCAAGCCTCCTGTTGGAAGTCTTTTGTTCTCATAACAGGCTTTACCTAAAGCATCCCCTGGGGCTCACCTCTTAATCCACAGGTGAAATCCAGGGACTTCCAAGCTACAGGTGACACATTTAGTCTTCTTCATTATAATGTGGGGGGGAAGGCAGGCTATAAAGGCATGTTTTTCCCAAAGGCTTTGTGAAGAGAACTCTGGCCAAAACCCAGGCAAGCTTCACTCACTGAGCAGTCAAGGGGTGACTGATGGCTTGATTTGGGGTGGAAGGACCCTGATGTCCTACATGGAAAGGAAAGAGCCTCAGGCTGGGGAGATGAATGTGTTGGTTTTGATACTGCTTACCAGACTCGCTGGATGCTGGGTTGTGGTTTCCCCTTCTTTCCCCATCCCTTACAATCACTGGACCCTTTCTCTACATGAAATCATTTTGCATCCACCCTAAGCAGTTCAGACCACCCATTTGTGGCCAAAACTCGATGGGACACGCCCACCATCTACTTGAGCAGCCTCAGGAAGGTGCCAAACCCCAGTTCCTGCCCTGCTGTGATTACCCCCCACTGAATGGTAATTAAAGCTTCCAGCAGATGGTTTGCAAAGCCCGGTCCCTCGCTGGGAGGATGCTTGGTAACAGATGTAGCTTGCTTGGCTCTGCCCTAGCCAAGAGGGAAATGTCACCCCCAGCATCAGGCTGGGAGCATATCAGGGAGGAAATCTGCTCCATTTGCTCAGGCAGGCTATTGAAGCCAGGTCATGCCATAGGATAAGCTGGCCAGTGTGTGGCTGGCAGGGATTAAGGATTTCCTGATGACTGAGCAGCCTGTTCTGATGACTTGCTTTTATCATCCTAAGCAATCAGATCTGGTGTATGAAACCTTTTGCCCTTCCTTAATGGGAAGAGAATTGATGCTGGGAGCACTTGCTAGTACCTGTCAAGCAACGTGCAACAGCAGCTTATAGGGAGAGCCCTGACATCCACCATAGGCAGGGAGTTTGCTCTGGGACAGATGAGCTCAGAGACATCCTTGCCTCTCCCAGGAGTACCAGCATCCTCAGGCAGTGAGGAAACAATAGGTGATGGAGATTTGATGGTGATGGATTTTTACTTAAACAGGGGAAGTTCAGGTTTGATATAAGGAAGAAGTTCTGTGTGAGGTTGGTGAGGTGCTGGCACATTTTTCTGGGGTAGCCTGTCCTACATGGTTTGGTTCACTTTGGCCATGGGTTTTCCCCAGGTTTCATCACCTCACCTACAAATAACTTCTAACCCACGTCCGCAGGTGAATTAATTGTGGCTGCTAAAAGGACCTGGCTTGCTCTTGCCTGGGAACTGGAGCTGGACCAAGTGCAGTGTGTCATGGGATGGGACATCTCTGGTGCCAAGCACCACTGGGATGCTGCATGGGGATCTGCAGGGGTATAGCTCCAGAGGAGGATGCAGAAGTGATGGCAGCATGTCGTGGTTTAAACCCTAGCCAGACAGCTTGTTCACTCACTCCCAGTGAGTGGTGCCGGGCTGGAAGCAATCGAGGCCTGCTGACCCCCCCCCCCCCCCCCGGGCTCTCCCCTTCCCTGCTCCTGGAGGGATGGGGAGGAGGATCGAAAGAGTGCAACTCCCACGGGTTGAGACAAGGACAGTCCAGCAACCAATGTACAACACAAATCACCACCGCTACCACCAACGACAGCAATGATAAGAGAAAATAACAAGGGAAGAGAATACAATACCACCTACCGGGAAACAAGTCCAACCCAGAAGCCCGTGTCCTTGCGGGTAACTCCCAGTTACATCCTGGCCATGACGTGCTGTGGTATGGAATACCTCTTTGGCTAGCTTGGGTCAGGTGTCCTGTCTCTGCTTCCTCCCAGCTTCCCCTCCTCCCTGGCAGAGCATGAGGCTCACAAAGTCCTTGGCCAAACCAAAACATCATTGTTAGCAGCTCTGTTCCCAGGCCATAAGTCAAAACACAGCAGTGCACCAGCTACCAAAAAGGAGAAAAATGACTGCTACTGCTGAACCCAGGACACAGCAACCCCCCTGCACTGTTCCCACCCTTTCAGGGAGGAGGGCAGAGCTCTGGACCATCACAGGCATGGTGCCTGCAATCCTGAAGCAACTTGGTGGATGTACATGGGTTTGGGGTGGGAAGTTTTGAGTTTGGGATGTTTTCTTGGTGGTGATGGTGGGGGCATTGTTTCTTCTTGTTTTGCTGTTAAATGGGGCTGGTGCTGTCCTTGGCAGGTCGCATCCCCTTGCCTCTACTCCATGTTTACTCGCCTTGAGCTTTCAGTGCTTTCCAACAGTGGGAAGCAAGGCTGAAAGGGGGTTTGGGAACTCCCATGCAACCCCCCCATGACAACTGGAGTCCTGGCTGCTGTTGCTGCAGCAGGTATTTACTTCTTAAATCAAGTGAAGTCATTGCAGTGTGAGCATGAAAATGGGAGCAAGCAGGGCAAGGCAGCACTGGGATCTGTGTGCTGGTGGCTGCACCAGGCACCCTGCGCAGTGGAGGTGGATGGGGTGCTCACTGGGAAGTCACTGCTGTTTCTTGCTCTTTGACCATCAGTTTGTGCCTCCTTTCTGCAAGGGCAGAGAAGGGGTTTTGGCTCCTGTCTGTTGGCAGGTGTTTCAAAGCAGAAATTTAAGGGTTTGCTGGCAAAGCTCAGGCTGCGGTGCCTGGACACTGGAGTGAGGTGGAGCCTGTGCAGCACGGGGAGAGGAGCAGTGGTCATCCCTGCCTCAGTTTCCCCTTTTGGAAAGTCACCCAGTCTCAGCTCTGCTCCAGAGATGATTGCCCCACACTCTCTGGCTCCTCACTCACTCTGAAATCCATCCCTGAGCAGCAGGGTCCATATTCACGGGGCAGCCAAATCACTAGAACTTTCCCCAGCCCACTGGCTCTGCCTTGGTAGGGAAGGATGTTCTTGCTCCTTCCCGTCAGTGATAGCATTAATGATACTGGACTGCCCTCTGCTGGGCACAGCTGAAACGACACAAACGGGACTGTTGGCCCGTCCTGGCCTTGAACGTTCCCAAGATCCCTTTCTCTCCATCTCATTTTAACAAGGGAAAGAAGGAGCAGGACAAAAGAGGCGAGGCTAAGGAGAGCGAAGGGAAAAGGAGAACACCTGGTTTCTGCTGCTGTTTTGCTTTAGTTGAGTTCAAGTTCTTTCTAGAAGACGTGGGATGGATATTTTTAGTCTTCCTTTCTTTTAGCTCCTACACAAGAGGTTTTTTAATTAAACCATAACAAAGCCAATTAAGATTAATTCTTTCTAACTCTGTTCATCTGATCTGAAATCAAGGGGGTTTTCTCTTGTCCATGCAGAGAAAGTCACTGGATGGACCATGGGGACATCCAGACATGTCACTGCAGGAACTGTGTGGAGCTGCAAAAGCTGCATCTTAAAAGCAGGTCAGCAGCTCTCAGGCACAGTGGAGGCTCTCTGTGTGACCCAAAGAAGGGTTTCCTTTTGTTTACCGGGGCAGGAGGAGGGGAGGCAAAGGCAGAAGATGAAAGCTCCTGGACAGGTTGCATTGGCATGGGTGCCCCCAGCAATCAGGCGCTGCAATGGGGACAGGCTGAGGAGAAGACAGACTGTCTTCTTGAGCTTCACAGCTCCCACTGAAGTACCTGCTTTTTCAAACAGCAATAGAAAAGAACAGCAGCAGGTACATAGCAGGATGCCTGTGCCATGATATGCTAGGCTGTTCCAGTCTGTTTTGAGCCCTCAGTATTAACTTTAAGGTCTTTTCTGACTTTTTAGCAGTGTGAACTGTATCAGCTTCAAGAGGTAACCTCTCAGTGAGGACTGAATCACCAAGTAGTGATGCCGAGAACTGGCTTTTGTGCATTGAGGTAGCTTCCACACTGCGAGGCTTCTCCAGCTCGCTCCCCATGATTGAACAAGCTTTCCCTTCTCCAGCCCCATATCTCTCAAGTTAGAAAACACAAGAGCCATTATTGTTAATACTGGGGATTTATTTATAAGGCTGGGCTTTGGGTCTCCACCTGAACAAAATTTACAACGAGTAAATCAGTTGGGTTTTATGAACACGGATGCTTACAAAGCTCTGATCACCTAACAGGTAAACTTCAGATACAGCACTCTGCCTCATGGGGAACTTGGGTGAAACACCAGTGTCTTTACAATGACTTCCCTGCCAGAATATTAGTTTTGTTTAGGGGACTGTAAGCACACACAAAACCCATGTAAGATGTGCATCTAGCTAGCTTATGTGACACGTACTGTCAGTGTATAACACTTGCCTCTTCTTTAACAACAGCTATACAAAGGTTTCAAAGTGCTTGATAAACCTGATAGCCTTAAAGTAGACCAAATTGATCTCCTAAAGCCCTTGAAGCAAAATCTCATGAAATCCCTATATATATATGTGTATATATATATATATATATGTGTGTGTGTGTGTGTGTGTCTCCACTGCAATAGAGGTAAAAAAAAGGAAGTCAACGTGAATCTTCTGTACACCAAGATGTGGAAGCCAGGAGCCTTGGACTTAACACTAGTATCTTCCCAAGTGACTGAAGCGCTCCTCTACAAAGTAATTTTAATAACCAATTCTTAATTAAAGGCAACAATTATATCAGTGAAACAACCCCTCCCATGGTGCTAGTTTAAAGGAACTATTATTTCTTGACTGAAAGTCAGCAATCAGGGAAATTTGGGATGGTCTCTGATCATGTGGTCTGGAGCAGAGGTTTATCTCCTACCATTGCTTTCACCTGCTAGTGGGACTTGGATTTGGTTGGCTTTCTTGTTCTTCCCTTCTTACAGCAGCACCTGCGGCAGCAGAACAGGCAGCACTTCAGAGAAATGAAGAGGGAGAGGAGGACCACGACAATGAGGAAGGCGATGACGTCCAGAGAGTGATACTGGATCCAGTTCAGATCGTGAGCAGCAGGTCGGAGGTGTGGGGCTCCTTTGTGTCTCATTACAAACTCCACCCAGTGCACAGCCAGGTCCATGGGGTGGATGGGCCTGTCAAGGTGAAGGTCTGAGAGACGCTTGATGTTCTCTTTGTACCTGTCAAGAGAAGATGTTCAATGCTTTCAGTGACTTGTTCTTCTGAGACTGTGGCCCCAGAGGAAAAGGATGCGGTGTTATTTGGCTTATAGCTCACTGGGAATTTCTGTGGTGGTGTTTCTCCACCACCCCACGAGAAGGGTAATAGCAAAGTTATGGGCCCAGAGAAGTGCTGTTTTCAATGGCAAAAACAGAGGGAAAGGTTTTAGGAAAGAAGAAAAAGAAAAAGCTTAGTTTGAGCTGTCATCAGAATCTCTGGGGTGAAGCTATCTGGTTGAAATGTGACTGAGTGTAGAAAAACTATCCAGTTTTTCAAGCTCAAAATGCATTATTATTGCTGTTGTTATCATTGCTCTAAGAATACTGCTTAGGAAGCAATGACAATAAGGTGCCATTTCTCAGAAACATGATGGGGAAGAGAATGCCAAATACTGAGAAGCCCTCAGAGAAGCAGGGAAGAGGAGGATATGTCATAGAATCATAGAATGGTTAGGGTTGGAAAGGACCTTAAGATCTATCTATTTCCAAACCCCTGCCTATGGCAGGAGGGTCTTGAAGCACCCCTTCACCGTGATGCCTTAAAAAATCTTGGGCATGCTAACTGTAATACAGTGGTGTCTAGAGTAGTTCCCTGTACTGCCTCAGCATACTCTTGCATGTTCCTCCAGCTCTGTGCTGGAATTGTCCAGCTTTGCCAAGCCAGGCAGCAGCTCACTGTGCTCATACAAGCACTGGGAGGGGATATGACTGAGAAAGCCTTTCTGTAAATGAGGTCTGTTTAATAAACCCTGAAGCTGGAAGACAGCGCTTCCTGATGCAGCACAGCCTCTGAACTACACTGAGGCACCTCCAGTTGCCTCTCTTTGGGATATCTTCATGCATAGAGCATTAGCCAGGCAGCTGAGCTTTTCAGCCTTTTCAGGCTCCCCACTAACCCATGACACCACCAATCTGGGGAACAAAACCAGTGCCACATCTCCCTTCACCAATTGCCTTTTCTGCCATGTTGTATCAAAGCCCTCTACTACATCACTGCCTGGTCGATTTGGTTTTGTGCTCATCTTTTGTCAACTTGATTTCTTCCATTGCATATATACCCCATCTTCTCTGATACGTGAATCCTCTCATATCAGCTGGTTCTTGTCACCTAATGCTTGTATTCCTGAGCAGCGAGAAGGAGAGTGCTGTTACAGGGACAGGATGAGGTTAATCCAGGGCCAGCATCAGCCTCTTAGTGATGTAACTTTGATATAAGAAGGCATATAAGAGCAGCTTAACATTCTGTTAAGCTGGAAGCTAGCATGGTGGTGTTAGATAAGAGTAGAACGGCTGTGTTTCTATTACTGACTTTTTATCATTAATAACTGCATGCAGGGCAGTGGTTATGTCCTGTGTAGTCATTTCAAGTATATTCAGTGTCAGTCCTGCCCCCCGTGACTCTATTCGCTTGGCGTTGTCCATCTGGTCTCCAAATAAAGGCATCAGCAGCATTGGCACTGCGTTGCATATGCCCTCGTAAATGCCATGGGAGCCTCCGTGGGTAATAAAGGCACGAGTCTTAGGGTGAGCTGTGGAGGAAAGAAAGACTTGCTTAGCTCTTTGATTTAGGCAGTCACAGTAACACATCCCTAGAGAAAAACTGCCACAGAAAATAGCACTGGTAGGTGTCAGTCAAGAACTTTGTGTTGTCCTGTGCATCATTACTTATGACTGGAGGCAAGGCAGAGATAAAGACCTCCATTTTTGACAATAAGGGGAGTCAAGTGTTGGGACAACTTTCCAAACAGAGTTGTTTTGTAAGTCAGTGGTTTTGAAGGTGCAATCAGATACATTTCTAAGAGATAAGCTCTCTTTCAAACAGCAAAGTCTGTTAAGGAAGCCCTGTGACCCACAGTGATGCAGGGAGTCAGCATAAATGATGCCAATGTTGCCTTACAGCAGCAGTATGGGATTGAAAGCAACGTGCTGGTATCACTCAAGGTATCTCATACCTACCTAGAAGGTCGTTCTGGGGCAGCCATTTGACGAGCTTTATGTTCTTGGGCATGTCGGGGGGCACCTTTCCTGTGTATCGCCACAAAACCTTGCAAGAGAAGTAACCAACATATCAGTTCTCAGCAAGTGGCTTCTTGCTGCTCCTCAGTAGGTTTTCTGGCATCAGGGAGCAGGAGAAAGAAGAGAGGAGCAAGCCCACTGAAAGCTGAAGGTAATCATGTACTGTGTTTGAAAACCATGTTGGATTGCTGTGCTGCAAGGGGAAGAGGGAAACCATACCGTCTGAGGGACTGTTCCCAAGGCATCAGCAATTTCTTTGGCTTTCTTCATAGGGATCTCGGAGACCATGGAGCCCAGGGAGAAGACAATAATGCCATGTTCTCCAGAGGCATTCACAATAGCTTCGAATTCCTGCCAACACAAATCACATCCTTAGTCAAAGTCCTTTTCATGTCATATGTCGTAGGTTCTGTCACGTTCCCACAAAACTGTCAGGAAAGGCAAGAAAATAAGCGGTCAACACAACAAAATGCTGATCAGGAAAATTAGTTATCTGTATTCTCTATCTCTGTATATCTATGTATATCCATAACCTGTTTAGCATGGAGAAGCTGAGTGGAGACCTCAGAGCAGCGTCCAGTATCTGAAGGGGGCTACAAGGATGCAGAGAGGGACTCTTCATCAGGGACTGTAGCGAAGGGATAAGGGGTGATGGGTTCAAACTGAAACAGGGGAAGTTCAGGTTGGAGATAAGGCAGAAGTTCTTCCCTGTGAGGGTGCTGAGGCGCTGGCACAGGGTGCCCAGAGAAGCTGTGGCTGCCCCATCCCTGGCAGTATTCAAGGCCAAGTGGGACACAGGGGCTTGGAGCAACCTGCTCTGGTGGAAGGTGTCCCTGTCTGTGGCAGGGGTTGGAGCCGGATGAGCTTTAAGGTCCCTTCCAACCCAAACCAGGCTGGGATTCTGTGATTCTATATGAAAATGAGTCCCAGGGACAAAAAAAGTGGGCATATGTGGCTGAACAAAGTTAAGGAGGTGCCTGAGTGTTGGCAGAATTGAAGCCTGAACCGAGATTCGGGAGGGAAGTGAGAAAAGACTGACTTTAAACCAGTCCTGTTGCAAAGTCTGCTTGCTCCAAGACATCAGCGTCTGTGCTTCAAAAAAAGATGCTGGAGCAATTAAGGAGATGAAGTCATCATCAGACTTTTCCTCGCAACCACCCCCCAGGTGACTACATCGTGCTTTATTTTCCTATTCATTGCAATCACATGCTCTGGATTTAGAGTTGCTATTCTTCTTTTCACACCATGCAGCTGCAAGAATGAAGACTGGTTTTAAAGGTGTTCTAATAGCAGATAGTTGTCACTTCTACTATTTGGATTTACTGGGTCTGCTTTGAGTAATGGCAATATTGAACCACTGCCAGATTTTAATCTGTTTTGGTCAGTTGGTTTAACTAATAGGACTAGATCTGTCACTTGAATCCAAGAACAGAGGGATTCTAATGAAGCATAAAACCAGCCAAAGGCTGGAGCAAAAATCCTGTGCCATTGAGAACTATCTGGTAAAGCCAGGAAGGAAAGACAAAACCAGAGGGAATTGTTGCAGGCCTCAGAGTTAAATGAATGGACCAAAATGAACTGATGTTCCTGTAAATCTGTTGGAATTTCACCTTTGGGATCTAAGGGGACAACTGAGGTTGACTCCCTTAGTTTATGAGTGCCCTGGCCCTTCACTTGAGACTGTGTTCCAGACAGAAGGAGCCATCAAAGGTTTGGTGATAGTTGCACCCTCAAGAGCAGACCTGATGCTCTCCTAAGGGCAAAGAAGATGAATTGTAACCCTCATTTCAGGGCTTAGTTCTCTCTTTCTTACTAGATTTCTCTGAAGAGATGCTCTCCATCTGCACTAAGGCATTGTAGATGGGAACTTAATGATTAGGAACTCTGGCCTTGGCTCTGTATAAACTCCCAGACATCTGGGAACTGCAGAATCCTCCCCACACTACAAATGTGCTTTTCATACCAATTCTTTGGGCAGTGGGTGACTTGCTTCCTGCAGTTCTGGATGCAGTGGAACACAAAGAGCTATTCCAAGGCCTATTTATATTCTGTGGGACCAGTCCCATCAGTGTTCCTCCGTGCTTTTGTGTGCCAAGGTCGGACTTCCTGCTCTGAAGTGCCACTAATTTTAGGGAATGTTTTGCAGCCCTGCTTTGGGAATAGAAAATCACCTAAAACAACCTTATTTTAGTAGTCTTTTTAACTAGGATCTGCTCCTCTTGGTGGGTGCCACACACCACATCTCTAAAATACCTGAGAAAATAAGAGAAAGCATTATGAGGAGGATTTCTTAGTGGAAAGTGGCAAATATGCCATATATTTAGGAATTTTGGCATAGTTCAAGCAAAATACAATTGCAGTCCAGCTCTGGGACAGAGTATTTGACACAGAAGAAGCAGATCTCTAGCTGGGTGCTGGGGATTCCACTTGCTGCCTGAATTTCCTGCAGAAATCCACCAGGATGTGGCTTGCTGCGTTGCCCCACCTAGCACGAAGTCTTGTGAACTGGTACACAAATGAAAGCCACTGGAAATAGGCAGCTTCCTTTGGGGAAGGAATTGTTCCTAATCTCCACCTAACTTCCCTTGGCACACCTTGAGGCGGTTTCCTCTTGTTCTGTCACTTGTTCCTTGGCAGAAGAGACCGCCCTCGCCCCCCTTCTTTCACGTATAGAGGACGTTAGTGCACAACGGATGGTGTTTTGCTTTCCTAGCACCTCCCGCCCCATTCTTTCTGCCGAGAGCGCCATCTCCTGGTGAGAACGAGCAGTGCAGTCAGAGCTAAACTAAAGGGGTAAAAAAGCGAACTAACCTGGGATAATGCTTTTTTCCGAGTGCAGCTTATGCCCCCGATCAAGACCATATTAGGCATTAAGGGTCTGGGATACTCAAACACAAAGTCATATTTCATGAGCCAAATAGATGCATGGCTTAAGAGCTCAAGCAGTGTTGCCTCTTGTTGGAGGAATTCTTTGATCACACTATTGTATGGTGCATAAAGGAAACTGCAAAGCAGGGAACTGCTCAGGCTAGCAAGGAGGTTGCCCACACGCTGAAGAAACCTCATGTGGTCCGTGTAGCGAGTGAAGAACCTCGGAATGTAGGAAGGAGGATGTGGACAGAGAGTAGCGTGGAAGTCTAGGCTGCATGGCAGACCCCGTACAAGGTACACAGAAGGGAGGGAGAGATGTTCAGCCACTATTTGTCCACATGGAAAAAAAGGATCCATAAACACAGCATCAAATTTGCTTTCTCCAAGGGATTCAATCAGCTCTTTGTTACTCAGGAGATGTTTGCAGGAATCCAAGAAAAGAGATGAGATATTTGCCAAACTGGAGAATTTTGCTGAGAAGGGTTGAGGTGTGAAGCTCCTATAGCCCAGCTTTTTAAACTCTGCCTCCACAAACTCCTTGGTGTAAGACACAGGGTATGTTTTCATGGTATAATACCCCGACAAACCTATCCGCAAGTTTATCTCTGGCGCAAGCACCACAATCTCGTGTCCCCTGTGTTGGAGCTGCTCCACAACCGGGCGCATGCTGAGCCAGTGGCTGCCATCGATGGGTATAACCAAGAGCTTTCCACCTTCAGCAAAGGTCCACAGGAGCAGGAAAAGCACAAGCCAGGAGGCAAGAGAGTGAAATCCTACATTTGAAGAAGCCATTTTCCTTGTGCTGTCAGCAAAGTTTTAAAGAGCTGCCAAACTATTGCAGGGGACAAGGATTGAATCAGGGGGTACTTTGAACTTTAATCTTAACTGAGGGGGTTAATTTTTAATGGGCTGGCTGTATTTAGGCAGAAATTAGGATAATTTTTAACTGGGAGTAAAGATTGGGTTTATCATCCTCGTGAAGGCTTTAAGTGGGCACTGAATGCTTGAATTAACAGGAGAGGGTTCAAATGAGAGAGGGAGCATGTGGCACTGAAAGGCTGCACAAAAGTCATGAATGGGAGGTAACACCTGAGCCAGCAGTCAGTGTTTTACTAACACCCATTAATGATCAGCTCCCTGCCTTGAGTCTGCTCAGCTGACTGGACACAAAACTCAGAATAAAAGCCTGACCTTTGGAATACTTTGTGCTCCCCAAGGCTAACCAAGAATCAATGACTGTCAGAGATTTGATATAGAGTGAGTTGATAAGGTTTATCTTCAAATTTCTTTCTATATTATAGCAGTTATCAAAGTGAAAGCCCACACTCTACAGAAGTACATGTGATGGTGCAAGCTTAGCAATAACTTCTGCTGTTGCAGCACCACTGTGGTCTGGAAAACAGAACAAACCATTGATATCTGCACTACTTGCAGAGCCACTTGGGAGACTTAAAACAGGGAGGGACGGTGGGTACTTAGAATCCCAAGGGCTTCTTTTTCCAAGCATTCTCTTATATGTTCCCTTGTATTGCTTCTTACACAAATTCAGAGGCAAAAGAGCTCCCTCTAATGTCTCTGCATATCCCTGGTTTTAGGGTATTCAAGCACATTATCAGGCTCTACAGCACAGTACAAGTGCCTGGGTATATCCACAGAGTTAAATCCACATTTCCATGTTTTGGCCAATCAAATGTCGTGCAATTAATCAGTATTCAACTGTTAGGGATATTAAATTATCTGATCTAGAATTATTTTGCTATTTATCTAGCTATAGCATACATTCCATGAGGGTAGATTGAGAAGAGACGTTAAGAAGAAGTTCTTCCCTGTTAGGATGGTAAGGCCCTGGCACAGGTTGCCCAGAGAAGCTATGATTATAGTGATATGCTTACAATAAGCTAAGCCATACCTAGGCAGCTACATAGCTTAGTCAACTTCACCTAAGCTCTCCTGAAGAGAAACCCTACAGCTGCTTGTAGTGCAAGTCTGGTGATCGTCTACAAGAGCCTGAGATTCCTGCTCCCAAATCATGCCATCCTGCTAATCGATCACATATTGGCTCAAGCACAAATACTACTATAGGAAGCATATCTTAAATAATTGCTAATAAATGCTATATTTAGAATCAATATATGCTAAATGTCATGTATCACTGTGAACCACGACAAACCTCTGATAATGGCTGCTTCTGCTTACAGTTGATGCCTCCAACATAGACCATGTTTGGCATTATTGGGCGTGGATACTCAAAAACAAAGTCGTATCTCATCAGATAAACGGATGCTTGGCTAAATAGTTGCAGCATTGTTACTTCTCTGCGAAGAAACTCAGAAGCTAAGTTCTTATAGTTTAAGTAAAACAGGTCGCAGAACATGTGCTCTGAAGCCCCAGCCAGGAAGTTCTTCACACGCTCTGCAAATGTCATGTTATCTGAGCTGTACGTGAAAATCTTTGGCACATAAGAAGAAGGACTTGGACAC